GTTTTTTGGATATAAAAAACGGAAAAGCGTTTTTTAAAAGGTTTATTGGTCTCAATAAACCCTTTTTGATAGTTTATTAATCTACGACTTTTTTTAGAGTGTAAGCATAGGTGCTCGTTTTCCGTAGCTGCTTTGAGTGGGTTGTGGTCATAGCACTGTTCGATTCCCTGTTACTCGTCTTTTAGACCAACACATGTTTAAAAGGAAACCAACATTTGTACTCTTTCTAATGCAGATGATACATTTTCCTTTGCAGAACGACTCTACAAGATCATCTACACCACTATCAACAGCAACAACATCATGTGGGTCTTATAGATAACTTCAACAGCATCAACAACAACTTCTCGTTGCTTCCATTATTTTTAGACAAATATTAAAGTTTTTGTATAAAAATATTCAATTAATATAGACAGGCTTTCACAAAAACAAAACTATTTAAACAAATTATCAAAAACTAGCAAAATTTTATGCAAGAGTCGGATCAAAACAGAAATGAATGAATTACATAGTAAAAAAAAGAAAAACAATTCGAAAACAGTGAAATTTTTGAATTTGGCAATAGACTTCAAAAAAATTCCAATTTTTGTGTTTTTCCTTGAGGTTTACTTCTCGATACACCACTGGAAACGACGTTAAAAATCAGCATACGACTATATCAACTGCTGTAAATTTGAAGGATTTTGTAGTACATAAAACGGGCTTTAAAAAATCAATTAGATATTTTTTTAAAAAAGCACATCATATTATCAAATAATTTTGTATGCAATTCAAGCTTGTTTAATAGATGTAAGAAAAGAATGATAGCTTTTTCGATTTGTATATGCATATCATTACAACATGCGAGTGATTTATGCAATGAAGAAATAAGGGCTATTTAATAAACATTTTGAGAAAAGATAACGAAAAAAGTGTAAAAAAATCAGGAAAAATAGGGCGACCACGAAGCTGATTTACAGTAAAGCATGCTGACTTGTTTTAAAAACTAAAAAAATCTGCACAGAGCATTTTTTTCGCAGAGTGCCGCTGGTACTCTATTTTCTTAAGGAAGTGTCTAATAGAGTACATTTCTTATCTTCTTATTAGTTTCCATTAGCAGAAACTAGAACTGATAAATCGTTGCTGTATATAGCCATTCCGTGTAACGTGTCTGTGCGTTACTTTTTGCTCTTTTTGTTGATCTTATAATATTTGAATGCGAGAACGTCGAGAGTTGAGAGATGTCTCATTTTGTAGATAAGAGTGTGCTCGTCAAAACCCGCTCGAGACTCATTTCAAAGTATATGTTCGGTTTTCTGCTATAGTGATTTTTTCAATAGCTACAATCCAATTTCCAGCAAAATAGGGCTATTAGAAATTTGATTGTATCAGAAAGACAGCTGAATATTTTACATTGAGCTTCGTATGGGTTTTGACGAGCACACTTTTAATTACAAAATAAGATGTCTTCTAGCTTTTCACGATGTTTTCTGTAGAAATGGAACAAAACGACAAAAGCGGTAACGCATAGGCATTTGGTTGACCGTCAGGCAGAATGGCTGTTTAAAAAATTTTATATTAATATAAAATTCTAGTAGTTTAAAAACATACACTGAGTGGTAGTTCTAGTTCAAAGAATGGAAACCATGAATTGGCACAGGTCCAATTCAAAATGAACAATAAATGAATACTCAAAAATGAGAAATTAAACAAATAAATAATAGTTGAATCACATGATTTACAATCATTCTTGTTTAAACATGCAAATAACGACTCTGCTTTTAACATTTCCGTCTTAGATTAGTCTTTTAATCAGAGTTGAAGTGGACGACTGGTAGATGGGTGACTATTTCAGAAACTCGTCATCTGTAAGGAAGATATCGAGCTATCGAAACTGACACTTGTCAGCATCTTACACCGATAGCGATAGCAGCATGGCAGGATATTCTAGGGTTGACAAATGTTCCCTCACGCAAGAGACAGTCTCTCGCTTGAAGATTTATCTCTACCCTCATACAATCGTTATCTCTGAGTAATTCGCTCACTTGGAAAATTTGCCTAAATGACGGACATCAGTGATACCCCTCATTTTAGATCAATCTGTTCCACATTGGAATTGTTATCGTTGGCAACCCAAGGATAATCTTCCTTTTTCTTCTTCCAAATTTGATTTAGATTTCAAGATTATTGCATTGGTCTGCTTCGCCGATGACTAATGCAAGTATATAAATGCAAAGAGAAGAATTGCACAAAAAATATCACAGAATAGTTTCTTTTAATCCTTTCACATTTAAAAATGTATTGATTTCATGTGCCAAACAATTTTTTGGTATAAAGCCTATTTCATTTGTAGCGTCTTTTTGTACAAATAATGTGTCTTTACCAACTTTTTTCAATAATTTCACTTGATCGCCACGACAAACGGAAAATTGTTGAGTGCTGTAATTATTCCAAACAAGAAATGTTCGCTGAGATGCGCTCGATTTAGGAAAAGGTACGGATGATGAAATAAGACTATGGTTGCTGACGTTGTTATTATCATCATCAACATCACTTTGATCAATGGTTCGCAATGAATCAAGTTCAATAGCAGCCAAATTAAGTTCACCAAAAACATCAACATTCGATAGACCTTTTTCATATTTTGTGAACGATGATTGATTATTATCAGCAACTGTTCCAACTGTTGTTAGATGACGTTGTAATGGTTTATGACAACGACCAGACGTTCTCGATTTCTAAAGTAAAACAAAACAAACACTCTGTCACTGCAAAAGAACACAAAAAATTTCCTTACGTATGATGACAATAGTTCTGTTGATAATGATTGTTGTCGATGTTTATGTGGATGCCATACTGAACTATCGCATGATAAATGGCGTTTACGACGTCGATGATTTTCAAAATTGATTGAATTCTCTTTAGATGATAGTGTTTTAGGTAATGGTTTAATATGTGGATATGAGCGGCTGGTCGATAAATGTTCAAAGGCCGTTATATTTTGCTTTATCTGGCGTTGATAGTTATCATTTTTCGATGATGAAGTGCAGTACACATTGTTTGGTGATATCGAGAAGTGATTATCATAAGATTCAAATTTTGGTAATGGTGGTGATGATGAATAAGAAGACGAAGACGATAATTGTTTTGAAGGCATAAGTGTAAGCGAATGCTTACAAAGATTCTTAAGATCATTTACCTTCCCGTCTGATCCTATATCAAATGATAATGGTGCTGTTAGATGATTTTCAGTCATTGGCAAACACGTCTGATTGCGTACGGATGACTTTTGTCGTGTTCTATTACGATTGTTAAGCGAAGAAATACTTTGTTTTTCTACATGGTTTAGTGTATTAGAATGACATTGACAACAACAACAGCAATGTTGTTGCTGACAAGAACAAGGGCAAGTGGGTAATGAACCTAGTGTGGCTGCTTCAACTTGTGGATTGACATTATACATGTAATATGACGGATCATTTGGACTTTTTCGTTTCAGATTCTGAATACTCGTTTGACTATCAGAATAACCAGAATCTTTCATACTTGATGTATCGGTGTGATGACGATGAGTAATGTAAAATGAATGGTGTTTTGGCTTTGAACTTTTCTGCGGATGACGATCGGGTGGTGTATTTTCGTTATGTTGATTTCTTATTAATGTTTTTGACAGACGGTCGAAACGTGTCGAATAAATTGATTCGCACTCGTCTGATGTCGATGTTGATGTACGAGAAGGACGCTGATTTGTCGACCGTGAACGAACAACACGTTTTGAACGACGTTGACTAACCGGTGAATGAGATGCTGAAATATGTAGGTGATATTGAATTAAATCACATTAGACTTACGTGTTCTTACAGTCAAGAAGTTTGTGGAAATTTCGCTGACATAAATCGTCGGCAGATTTTGTTCGTGATGGTACGTGTCTATTTTTTAATGAACGACGGGAAGATAAACTTGATCCAACGGAATTACTACTTTTGATTTCCTATAACAAAAGTGATAACGACGGGTCATTTATGCCTCACATCACAAATGACAGAAAGAGTTTAATTATTCTTTATTTTCCTTTTTAGAAGAGATCTTTATATGTATCTTGTATCAATGACTTGAAAAGTATACTATCTGGCTACCATGAAACATCGCGTTAGTAAAAATTGCTCAAATTGCATATATCGGAAAACATTAGAACGAGGTGAAGTCAGAAACACTCTACTGCTTTTACAAATGTTTCGCCTGATTTTTGTCCATCACCTCAGCTACTAAAGGTCCTATAATACTCTTGAATATGTCATTTGGAAGGTCTATATTTAACTGCTCAGCTACACTTGACAGATGATTGTTTATGTATTAGACCACTTAGCATCTAATGATTTTATAGAAGAATGGAAAGACTAAACGATCATATCACTGTAAGGTAACTTCTGATTACAATATTTATGGAAATACATGACTTCCAGTGTTAATAGAATCAATAAGTGTATACAGAAACTAAAGAAAAAAGATGATTTTAAATCTTATCATGCATATGCTCAGTTTGTTGTATAGTTATGACGACTATTGACGCTGCAGTCGAAGACGTTAGACACAGCAACATCGTCGGAATTATTCCATGGCACATGAATTATTGACTTGATTAGTGACGTCATGAAAAGGATGAAGTTAAAACTTTAAATTATGAAAATCGGATTCCCCATGGCAAAAAATAATCCTCGGCAAAGTTTGGAGTTCCCCTTGCATCGTTTTTTCGGATAATTTACAAAGCAATTAGAGGCAGCATGGTTCACGTTTTCCTAAAAATTGGGAGAAAATGTTTGTTTTCAAACCATATCGAACTATATATCATTCGATACAGAGTTTTTCATAGATTCTGAATATCATATTGGTTTTGTACAAAAATACTTTTGAACGTTAAAAATTTAATTTTTTTACTTTTTTCGTTTTGCATATATATACGTTCGTTTTCACTATATGAAAAAGAGAAAATATGTTTTTCTTCTCTCTTCTCATGTGATATCACACGTTCTTTTTCTAACGTGTAGTAATTTGCAGTTGAATTTTCCTTCAACAACGAAAAAGTAACGAAGAGGATTCGAGAAAAGTCCAAAAATTTTGTTACTTCTACATGTGCAGTTTTATGTGCTCTATCTAATTAGAATTTAGTGTTTGTTAATTAAGTTAAAAAAGGAGTTTTTATCGTAATTAAATTTTTCTAAAAGCTCGTCTATCTCGGATTGTGCGTGTTTTCGAAATATAAGACATTCAAATTTGGATAGGGCTTAAAATTTTGTGGATACTAAAAGATTATATGTTCTTGGAGACGCCTCTTCTCACTCAAATCACAAAATATAAAACTTGACTAAATGTTCATATATGGATACACGTTAGAAAAAGAACGTGTGATATCATATGGGAAGAGAGAAGAAAAACATATTTTCTCTTTTTCATATAGTGAAAACGAACGTATATATATATGCAAAACGAAAAAAGTAAAAAAATTAAATTTTTAACGTTCAAAAGTATTTTTGTACAAAACCA